ACATCTGATTGGCTATATGTCACAAGCAATATCCTATCAACCCTGATGGTGGCTGTGCCACAGATGGGCAAAGAGACTAAAGCTGCAATGGTGAGCGAGCAGAGCTGTGTGTCGAAAGAAAGGCAGCAGATATTACTGAAGCAGCAATAAACACAATCTAATCTGTTTCTATGATGAAAAGCAACCAGTGTCCCGGTTACACCACTGAAAAATCACAGCAAATCACAGTTCACCTGTGTGCAGAACTGGCAGGGTATCCATACAGATCATGAATCATCTACGATCCGTTACACCACTAAAGAGAATCACCTCATAATACCACTTTATTATGCATTAGACTCTGTACCGCTCAGCTGTGTCAGTTATTATGTGTTCTCCCTTTTTAGACTATAAAGCAGAACAATAAGGAGCACTACAGGCGCTTGCTGGAGATGGTGACGGAGAAATACAGCAAAAGCCAACCACTACCATTCAACCAAACAAAACCGCAAAAGTATAACCCCATTATTCATGTGGCGATTTGGGAAATTTCATCAACATCCATTTAATAACATACTCTCGAACATGAGCTGATTGGTCATCTCATAACCTTTTCTCTTTTCTCTTGCAGTGAGTCGCTATCACAGGGTGATCACAAAAGTGCTGCTTCAGGAAAAGCCTTTGAATCAGTGCCCAGGAAGATGGGATACACAGGTAAGCCGCCTCTGTACACTCTTCAGTGCAGAAGAAACCGATCTGAATCTGCAAATGTATTTGCTTATTTAAGTGATGCTTTTATTTTACAGTTGCAGGTAATTACCTCCTACTATTTTGGGGCATTGTTTTTAATAGATTTAACAGATTTGTTAAATAAACATCCATTTTCCTATTACACAGTCAACTGATTAAAACCAGGTTGAATATGTTGTAATGAATCTACCCTGCTCGACTGACACTCCTTTTTGCACAGCTGCCCCAAGTGTGTTTACATGGAGAAATGCATCTGCAACCAAGGACAGGTAGGTGTAGTATGTCTGCGTATGTGTTTGTGTCATGTATATTTGTGAATTCTGATTGTTTTACTAAGTTACTTCTCTATGATTAATCTCCAGGCGTGGTAACTTGACCTTTAGTAAGACGTTCAGTGGAGCCTTTGAGGACACACAGCCTGGTAGATGTGCAAAGGTAGTCATTTCTCTGGCTCTTTTGTGACATGTCAAAGCACTCATGAAGTTATAATTGTATTAATGTATTGTTTCTGTAATATGTTGGAGCAGAAACAGGGAGCAGAGCTGGATCTTTCTACAGAAGTTGCTACTCGCCTCAGTCTAGTGGACAGAGAGACTCCTGCCATCAGTCTCCCTGACACACATTCTGCACACACAGCACATACAAGGCACAGCGATGAGGACATACCTCGGCTGACCAAGGTGAGATTAGCTAGGAGTTAGGTGTAATCACTGTGTTCAAGAAAGCTTGGATAAAGTTTGTTTCATTTCATGTATTCATTGTCTTTGTGTGTAGGAAATGGCTGCAGAGGTGAGTTGTGCTCTAGCTCAGAGTGATCCCAACCTGGTTCTTAGCGCGGCATTCAAGCTTCGCATCACACAGAGAGACTTGGCCACACTGCAGGAAGGAGGCTGGCTCAACGATGAGGTATGTACTAAGGCTACATCCACACTACTTTTAAAATGCAGACCTTTTGCTACATTTGCACCTCCCATCCAGACTAAAACAGCAAATCCGAAGACCTAAAACGGGGAAGTTTGAAAACGCTGCTTACCCCATTTATGTTTTAAAACTCTGGGGTAGAGTATTCAGTTTTTCCCACAGATTGACAGTGTAACTGTGGTGGGGAGGCTACAGCTGTTTTCCAAAGTTAACATAGCTCTCATTATTAGCTAGGATCCTTACATGCTTGCTAATAACTGTTTTGAAGATGGGTCTCCAACATTGACAGCGTTGTGTTGGACAGCTTTGTGCATCGGTGTTTATGATACCAACCTGTCTTATTAGTCACACAAAGCAAAAACAATGCTACAGACTATATTGTTTATGTAAATATTTTTTTTCTGTGCAAATAACACTTGTACTGTGCATGTCGCCGCTATATTTGCTTTGCAAGAACTCCTGGTCTGTGTTCCATGGCTAAAGTTGCTTTGTAGTCTCGTTTTACTTTCAGAAACGATTCCACCTAGTTGTCGATCTAGGCACTTCCTGTTTACATCGGACCATTAGATGTGTGTTTTCAGCTCTGCCCTGAACCGCTTGAAAACAGCTCGTTTGTAGTCCAGCCTTCACTTCCTTTACTTGTGATGTCACAATGAAAACGCGTCATAAAGCTTGCCAAGCGGCTTGCGGGGTCAGGCACGCCCTCAAACCAAGCTAGTCTGAGCGGAGGTCCTTTGGCTTGACTGGCCTTTGTCTGGTTTTCCTTTGTAGAAATGTTGTACCTGTACCTCCTTCCAGGTACTTTTTTTCTTATCACCTCACCTCCATTTCCAAGCAAGCTGAGAGATACTAACATGTAAGGTGAAAACACGACAGACTGCTGATTGGTCAGAGAGAATCACTATTCACTGCATCATCATTGGGTGCACCAGACAGAGGCCAGCAACAGAAAGTTTTATATTTTACAATTTTCGTATGGAATTTCATCACTAAATCCACTTCTGAGAAGTTTTGAGGTGAGAAATCAGCTGTGTAGATTTTGAATATTGACAGTTTTACGAGAAGTGATGGCGGAACAAAAATGTGCTTGAATGTTTTCGGAGTTGAGGAGCTCAGCAAGTGGCTGCGGGGGAAGCCTGTGTCAACCCGCGGGAGGAGCGTGTGAGGCCGGCCAGCCGCCCGCTCACAGAGCCCTCTGCCCCCGCCGTCACACAGACCGCTGCAGCAACAACGGCAGAGGAAAACACAGCTGGAAGGTTTTCATACCGCTTATCTGTCTTTACATTCTGAGTAATGTTGAAACGTTTTAACTTGAAAAAGAGAAAGCTGTGTGGATCGCTGGTGTGTGTGTCGCGTGGTCGGGGTGTCGCTATGACAAGCTACGTATCTCTGGGTACTACCTGCAATGGAAAACGGAGCAGGGCCGAGTAGAGTCGAGTCTATCGATTTGCGCTATGGTAGCTTTTTTCGGCAAGGCAGCATAGATTGTCAGAACACTGGAAACAGTTCAACGTTTAGTCCTAGTGGTAAGATGTGGAACAATGATGTTGTGGACTGGTAATAACTTATACCATCTGCTAGGTTACGGTCGCAGTCTGAAGCGTCTTTGATTTGGATCACACTAACTTGTTTCTTACGACCTGCACTTCTCTGCTTCTGATTGGCTAGTAGTCCTTACCTGGGAACTGCGCATGTGCAACTCCCAACAAAGACTTTGTACAAGTAAGATGCATCACTCTGTAGCTCAAGAGCGGAGCGTACAACACACAGGGTGAAAAGAGGAGCTGCAGCAATGTGCAGTATGAAGAAAAATATGGTGTTTTATGAAAATTAAACCATGTAAACCTGTTCTGGTACAACTCCTAAATAAGATTTTGAACCTGTAAATGAGTATAATACCACCTGTTTAAAACTTAGTAGTGTGAATGTAGCCTAAGAGTGTGAAGATTGTTTTGAGTAAGTTTAGTCATTCATTTCTATGAAATACTATCATACATACTTATTTACATCTATGCCACTATCAGCATACTGTATCATACATGTATAAGGCTCAAAGGAAATTATCCAGTTATCTTGATACATTTTCAAGGGGTGCAGGTCACTCGATGAGTTGTGTAGTCTGTGGGGGCTCTGCAAGGACCCGGAATGCAATTTATGTGTTTTATGTTAATTATTGCTTTTAAATTAAAATAAATAAAAAAATTTGCTTTTTGTTGAAGTTTTGTTAGATTGGCAAACGCTTCTTGTTGTTCAGGCAACTTTGTCATATTCCTTCACAATGCCTCTGCAAGTGTTACATCACGTTTGTGGTGTTGGAGCCTCTGCTGCTTCCAATGAAAATGTAGAGCATATCCATGGAAACAAAGGTTGAGTGACCTGCTTTTTCAAATTAGCATTGCAAAATGTGGTTAATACAACTGAAACTCAGTACCATTCCTCTTACTATTCTGTTTACACAATACTTTGTGTGTGACCATACAATTAGTGAAAGCCTAAGGCAACAGAGATAATGAATCGTATTTAAGATCTAATGCATGCATTGAGGACATGTTGACGTTTGACCAATGTCTACTTTTAAACATGTATTATATTGTGCTTCTTTTGTTTCCTCTAACAAAGGTGATTAACTTCTACCTCTCCCTGGTCATGGAGCGGTGCTCTAGCGAGGCAACAGCATTAAAAGTCTACACGTTCAGCACATTCTTCTTCCCTAAGCTGCGGGGTGGAGGAGGTGGGCAGGCAGGAGGACACACTGCTGTGAAGCGCTGGACCAAGGCTGTCGACCTTTTCCTCTACGACCTCATCCTGGTACCTCTGCATCTGGGCGTCCACTGGGCAATGGCTGTGAGTCAGAAGCATAAGTCTAGATTTATTATTTGAGGTTTGATAATCCCTGAAATACTCACTTTAAGATTGTAAGTATTTCCTCTTTGTGATCAGTGTCAAAAGTCTCGTATATTTTAACCTTTTTCTCTGTGACTCTCATTCAAGGTGATTGATTTAAAGTCAAAGACAGTGAAGTCATATGACTCAATGGCCCAGAGACATGATGACATCTGTAGTCTTTTACTGTGAGTCCTCATTGTACTCTTAAGCTTCAGTTATCTGGCTATTTTAAGTGCTTTTTCCATATTATTGCCCTTTAGTTAATGGCATCATTGTGCTTATTTTCCAGAATGTACCTTAAAGAGGAGCACAAAATAAAGAAAGGCAGAGAGCTTGACAGCCCCAAATGGACCATTGGAAGCTTAAGGGCCTCTGTAAGTCAAACTTAGATGAATGACATATCACTAAATTGAATTTATTTTTATTGTGAGACTAATGTTTTGTACACTGTTCATGCCTCTATAGGAGATTCCCCAACAAAAAAATGGCAGTGACTGTGGCGTTTTTGCCTGTAAATATGCTGACTATATCGCAAAAGGAAGGCCTCTCGCCTTTAAACAGGTATTCACCTAATATAGTAATACTTTTTTGTTTCATTTCATTTTATCTTTTTTTTTTATATAAATACTGAAAGTAACATTTGCCTCCTCTACAGTGCCACATGCCTCTCTTCAGGAAGTTAATGATTTGGGAAATCCTCAATCAGAAGCTGCTATAGGGGATCGCAACAATCTCCATTAACTGCCTAACAGCAGCGACTTTCTCAGTGGGGGGCAACACCTGTGTACAGTAACATGGTGAAGAAAAAGAACTGAATGGGCCAAAGAAGTGGACTTCATTGACTGAAACCTTACCCAGTCTAGCTGTTCTGGTCAAACACTATTCTTAAGAGTTGGTTATGTTCTTTTCCCATCAGGGACGTATTAATATTTTGTAATCTCTGAGTTGTAATTGGAGACATTATCTGGATGCAAGAAGTGTATGAGTTACACAAGTTCTGGCACTACTGACTGAATGGGTTTTTTTTTTTTTTTTTTTCAATTGACTTTGGATTGTTTGAATTTCTGCCTGAAGTGCCTTCTGCCCACTGACACTGAGCTAAACCTTTTCTGTTGTATATTTTAGGAAATTAATTGGTCAAAGACAAATTAAAAGTCAGTTATGAGGAGTTTGACTCAGAATTAATTGAATTAGAGTGTTGCAGGTCAGTGTTATTTTGATGTCATTTGGATGTTCCCCTCTCTCCCAATTGTGATCATCAGAGGACCGCAACTTACTACAAGCTATTTATGAAACGCAATCTTAAGAAATACAGACAATGAAAATCAAAATACCTCTTTTCCAGTCCCTTTTTCAGAAAGAAAAATGCATGGTTGAGTGCTTGTAGTATGTTTGTTTTGCTATTATATATATATTTATGACTTGACTGGATGAGAAAGTGTTTTTGGAGTATGTATAGTTTGTTTTTTTTCTCCATGAGCGGAGCATAAATAGTTGTTTCCTCATACGTAACATAAGGCGCTGTTAGGATTGTGAATCTTTTCCATGAGCATACTGCAAGAGTCTTAGGGCTATTACATTGGCTTACAGTATAGTATACTGCATAGCAAACTACTGTACACATGTGCATGTTGGAGTTCATGCTTTTAAAAATGTGATTTCTGTAATAAAGTATTCAATTTTTTAAAATTGGAGTTTGATATATTAAATGATTCATAAGGTGCTACTAGAGGGTTCATCTGGAGCTGGATGGTATGACCTCAAATCTATTAGATGGACCTTTTATTGATCCCAATAGGGGGAATTGTATTAGACACAGCAGTCAAGTGAATGTGTTTGGTTTTTTCAGATAGCAATAATATACAAAAAATGTGCTAAATTGTCACATTAACTTGAGTATTAGAAAATATACCTTCTTGGTTGTCTGCTGCAGCAGGGATTGTAAACTGGAGAGCAGTCCTGCAAACAGAGAGTACAGATTCTGGTTTGGATTTGGTCATTTAATCAGATTAATAGAGGTCATCATATTTGAAGAGTCCATAATGCTGTGTATGAGCAGCAGCCACTCAAAACACAGATGCCACACTTTGGTATTAATTGATACCATGACTAATATTTAGACCCAAGTGGTTTAACAGAAGAAATCAAATAATTAATTGAGTGTTATTAAAACATATGGCAATACATGGCATTAACCTGCAGTAAAAAGTGCATCTTTGTATTGCTTACAATGGCCCACTGTGTATTTGTATTGTTATTGAAAGTAATAAAGAAATAGAAATAATACCAAAGCCATAGACCCATACTTTTAAAGTAAAGAAAAGGTTGGCACAAAGCAACAATGTAAAGTCCAAGTTATTACTCTGCCACTGCTTATTGGGAACAGCTGTATCTCTGGGTCTGCTATATCTTTTAGTCAAACAACTTTTTGTTAGAATAAATCTATGTAGGAGCCCTGTAGAATGTGCAGTATCCATGGAAGATATTTAAAATGACCAGGTATGATGAAATGTGCGAATGTGCAATATGTTTGGACAACACAAATCCAAACTCTGGAGTAACGCACATGTAAATAACTGCCACATTGTTTTGTTTTTCTTTTACACATAGATCGATAGTTATTTTCAACTTGCATATTTATTCCATAATTATATATTTTTAAATCTATTTATGTCAGGTGTATGTTTATGTCTAGCACCTAATCACGAATTTTTGCAATGAAGCCGTTTCTGATTGAGACGACGCTTTTATTGTGAAAATCAGACCGGAACACGACAACGACCTCTCAACGTTTCCAGAGTTAGCTCATTCAGATCAAACCGGTTTGCTTTGCGGTAAATTCGGCATGAGATTAAATTAAATCAGTCGTTAAAGCTAGTGTATTACGTATTTTATACACACACCTGCTGTGTAGTTACAGTAATATGAGCGACAACGAGAAAGATTTCAGGGAGCAGGTGAGTTATGATTATAAGTTAAGAAAATAACTGTTTGAAAGACGTTACGCTTGCTAAGGTTAGCTAGCTAACTTTACTGTTAGCTGCGTTTGTAGGTCGGTTAATGGAACAAATTTCGAAATTGAAGGAAGTCTGTTCTATACAAGGCTAATCGTAGTGAGTCTGGTGAGTAACCAAAAGAGTACTTAGTGTATTTTAGTTCAATGTTTAAAACGATGGTCGTAACGTTAGCTAACGTTACAGCATGCGGCCTACAAAGCGTAACGTTAGTAGTCAGGAGATGTGGCCGCCGCCTGGCCATGCTACTTTCATTTTACCGCTAATTTGCTTCTTAACGTTTACATAACGTAATCTATTAAAATATTGACGACTAGTTAGCATTAAATGAAAGTGACTATTAGTCAATATTTACCTTACATATCTGACTGTTCAGCTAGTATAAATCGGTATATAGTAACGTTATTTAAGGACCAACCAGGACCATTTCAAGCTAACATTAACGTGTATTCAGCTAAATTAATCTATGTTGTTTCCCTGGTTTTGCTGTTTTTCTTTGTACCTTTTGGTTCTTACAGAAACCAACATGCCTTACCACCCTGTTTGTTCTTTGTTAAGGTTGAGGTTGGAAGAAAGAAAAAGGCGGAAGACGTTTCAGATGTGAAGTTATTAATATTTGAAGCTGATGGTGTTGATGCATGCTAATGTATTGGATGCTGAAAAGAAGCGATCAAGATCTGTCCCCACTACTAGTGTTGTAATGGCAGATGGTAAATGGGGGAAGAGGAGGAAAAAAGAAGTCATAATGTCAAACAGAAGAAAGAAGAAATGAAGGGTTGTTTTGAAGTAATGAAGTTAAAGAAGTTATGAAGTTAAGATCAGAAGTTTACCAGGGTATGAGTAATTTCCTAACAGCCTGCTATGTTATTACTCTATTTCATCCTGTTTCTTTCTCTTAAGCATGCACATTTTTTTCCTCTCTATCAGAAACATCACTGACCAATCCCTTAATAGATTTTTTAAGAGTAATTATATGCAATATGTATTTCAGCTAAATTAACTATAAATATTTGTTGCAATGTGTGACCTTTTATATAATCAAATTAAATATTTTGTGTCAAACCTGTTAAACACCAAAATGTGGTGAAGTCCTTCTGAAAGGGGCATGTAGAGGGCAATCGCAGTTACCTCCTGGCCCTTTTTTTTGTTGTTTGGCACACACTTGGCTTTAAAATGTTTCTTACCATAGTGTCTGGTCTGTCCAGGACTCACGGCCTGGCTCAAGGAGCGCATCCCCTCGGGGCTCGGCAAAGTCCACCAGCCGCTCACCAGCACGCTCCAAAGATGGCTCCCGCCGCTCCAGGTCCAGATCGCGTTCTCGATCCAGATCCAAATCCAAATCCAGGTAAGACGGGTTTCTGTTCTCGTGTGCATATTCTGATGGTGTTTTCATAGTTAGGTTGCGACACATGGGCGTAAAGGCTACATTTCTGAAGCTGTTGAGTGCGTGTGACACATGTAAATTATGCACTCAGTTAAGTTTGTGTCTATCCCCAGGTCCCGTTCCCATCGAAGCTCACGCAGGCACTACTCCCGATCTCGCTCCCGTTCCCACCGACGCCGTTCCAGGAGCCGTTCTCGTAGCTGGGAGTACCGCCGGCATAGGAGCCACAGCCGTTCCCCCATGTCAAATCGTCGCAGACACATTGGCAACAGGGTATTTATTTAATTATTAGTTGTTTTCTGTTTCTAGATTTCATGTTGATTTCATGATTGATAATGAGTAAAATCCCTTAATCCAATCTTTGGGAATTTCACGACAAAAATATTTAAAATGTAAGTCATATTTAATTCCAAACAAAACTGTCACATCATAAATACAATGTACTCTGATTTGCAGTTATGTGGCAGGTCATATGCTCACAGTATTTTTACAGTCCTCCTCTTCTTACTCTCGCAGGCCAACCCAGACCCCAACAACTGTCTGGGTGTGTTTGGACTGAGCCTGTACACCACTGAGCGAGATCTGAGGGAGGTTTTCTCTAAATACGGCCCTCTGAGTGAGGTCAACATTGTGTATGACCAGCAGTCGCGTCGATCAAGAGGCTTTGCCTTTGTCTACTTTGAAAACTGTGAGGACTCCAAGGAGGTATGGACAACACGTTTTATAAAATGCATATATAATGTTTACTCTTTAATACCAGCAAATCATTTTTTATTACAAGTATGTGAATAGTTTAGGGTTCATGTTAAATAAGCAATTTTAAATCTCACTTGTGGTGGGTGTTTTTTTTTTTTTTTTTTTTTTTTTTTTTTGTAGAGAAAGAGAGAGTAGCGTGTTTACTGACACTAGAAGAAGACTGAAAGTGAAATGTAACTTTTTTTGGTAGCATTAATGTATTATGATGCAGTTTACTGGCGAAGCGTGTATAACTACAGTCCAGACTTGAGTGTCAGCTAGCAGTGACATCCATCATATAAATGGGTTCAGTGTGGGTTGAAAATGCATCCAGTAGACAAAGTCTTACACATCTCTGTATTAAAGAAGTTTTGGTCTCTAATGAATTGAAATCCACTGGAAGTCTACTTAAATTGTGTGTTTTTAGGCCAAGGAGCGTGCTAACGGAATGGAGCTTGATGGGCGCAGGATCAGAGTGGATTTCTCTATTACAAAACGAGCCCATACTCCCACTCCTGGAATCTACATGGGACGTCCCACATAGTGAGTCTTTCTTAACAAGGCAGCTTTGTTTTTTAACAGCAGAGGGGTTTTCCTGAAGCTATTGTGTGTGGTGTCTCCTAATGTGTCATTAAACTTTATTCTGTGTTTTACAGCGGTGGTAGCGGTGGTGGTGGAGGCGGTGGTGGTGGAGGCGGTGGCAGTAGTAGCGGTGGTTCATCGCGGCGTGCCTCGAGGGACTACGACAGGGGCTACGACAGAGGCTATGACAGAGGTTATGACCGTGATTATGATCGCTATGATGACCGAGAATACAGATCATACAGGTGAGTTATTTTTCCTGTAGACTTTTTGGGCCAGTATCTCATTTGAGTATCTCATAAGAATACTTTTAGTTTTTTAGTATTATTTAAATATCAAAAGTAAATATGGCTGAAATGGTGCCAAATTTCTTTCAAATAAAATGTGATCTAATTTTTTGAATTTTATTCGCAAGTAATTCTAGTTCACTGAGTGATCTAACCATGTGTAACTTTAAAGTTTTGTTTTTTCCCCTACAGACGCAGATCTCCGTCTCCTTACTATAGCAGGGGGTACCGCTCACGATCCCGGTCACGGTCCTACTCGCCACGTATGTTTTAAACTATATTTGTATCATTTTTATTTAATTAATTATGTAACCTTCACACATACTTTGTCACTGGAACAGTTTAGATTATCTGTATAAATCAAATCTGGCACTTAATCTCCTATCCTGTCGTGTTTTTCACAGGTCACTACTGAGCAGCGAGAGAAGAGTCAATGACAGATTCAGTGTTATTGCTTGGATGCTTGTCTTCTGTTTTTTCGTTTTTTTTGAGCACATTGTGTATGTGATAGGAATTCTGGATTTGTTTATGTATTAAATGATTAAAACAATTATCCTAAAAATATAGCCTGTCTGAGCCAAACAGTGTCAGCTGTTAATTAATCGTTACCAAATTTGTAGGAAGAAACGTGTAAAATGTGTTTTAAAATGGCAGAACAAAAGTTCAAGTTCAAGACATGGGCAGTTCTCTGGATCTGTGTGAAAAACGTATCACTGTTTCATTGGCTAACTTTTCTCATCACTTTTAAGATATGTGAAGCCCTTCCAGGTTATCCTTCTAATACCAAACAAACAGAAATCGAAAACTCAAACCTGTTTGGCGGCGATAATTAAACCAAAGGCTGGCTTGTTCGTGCTTGGCTCGACCGACTTGTTTTTATATGAGCAGGATTTTCTGTGGCAGTTATATTACTATTTCTCATTTTGCTGTTTGTATGTAGTTGGTTTCTTAAACTCTCAAGATCCTAGTTTGCTCTTTGAAATGTTTTAAATGCTATGTTTTGTTTTTTTTAAAATTTGGTCTTATTTTTTTTTTGTTGTGTGTGTTTGTATATAAGCAATAAAAATTACTTTGGTCATTTGCTCTGTTGCTTAGTAATGGTGTGTAGTATACTGTAATGGTCACATTGCCCCATGGAATTAGAGGCAGGAATGCTGCAGGTGTTGTACCATGAAGTCCCATCAAACATTTGGAATTTTTGTTTTGTTTTTCTTGACAGAAATAAAATATTACTGCTTGGATTTCACGCATGCACCCTCATTCAACATCAATCATATTCCATAATCAAGCCTTTTGTGAAATGAGCATTTTTAAAATGTCATTTAAATGTATTAAATAAGCAATTCATCCTGGATACATCAATCAACTGTGTTAGTATAACGTTAGTAGTAGTTTGGGAATGGATACACAGCATATGTCACATGATCCAATGATGGCCTTCAGGCTGCCAATGTACTCTGATGCTGTGTTAACGTCCCATCAGACAACTTGCTTTCTCCCAAATATGGGAGTGTTGTGTTCTGGCAAAAGTTTTTGTTCTAAGATTCAAGGTTTGTTTTTAGTAACAACCGGATTTATGTTTCAACACAAGAAGAAACACTGTTTAACTGAATGAAAATGTGTAAAACTAAGCAAATATATGAAAGGTTGTTTACACATCAATAGACATATACACCTGCCTCGACTCCTCTGCTGGCATATCAGGTGGGAGGAACTAAGACGCTAGGAAAAGGAATCGGGGATGTACAGAGAAATAACAAAAGCCCCAAGGTATAACATACATCCATAGTTGTACTAAGCATGTTCATGAACGCATCTATAAAATGGCGACCTTTAGCGAGTATTTCACCACAGAAAGGCAAGCAGTAAAATAAACTGTAAAGATGTACCCGTTAATTCACAAATGTTACAGCCTCAGAAGACTAGAAATGTATTACAATGAATAAAAATAAAAATGATTACATCAAAAACTTGATTTAATGCAGTCTTGTCAGGTAGCACACCTCTGACATGCCGTGTCAGCTCTCTCTCCGACCAATCACACACCGCCCATGTCAAAACACTTCCGGCTTGCTCTCCAACTTGCCTTTCCGCCGGAGTGGCTGGTGTGCCCAGAGAGCAGAGGAGTGAACACCACGTAGATCATAGGCTAAAAAAAATACATAAAGGTACACTTTCTCAGCTTAATAACGTTCAGACTATTTGTAATGACTGGAACATGCAGAGATAATAAGATAATATCTGTTTAACCATATTCTGGCTAACAGGAGTGGTTTCAGTGAACCACTAGCTAACGTTAGCATGCTGTGTTTGAATGAGCATATGACTGGAGCTGCCTGTACTTGTTTCAGTGGAGCTAGCTCAAGAGGAGTGATAAATGCCATGACCTAGCGTTTAGCTGGATCGAGGTGTTTGTACAAATAAGCCTTGCTTTGTTAACATACTTTGACATGGGGTCATGGTGTAACTAGCTTGTTGTTACTCTTGCAGATGCCCCCAAAAAAGGGAGAAGCCCCGAAACAGCCTCCATTGATCGGACGATTTGGAACCTCTCTGAAAATTGGAATTGTGGGATTGCCTAATGTCGGGTATGCACATGTTTTTAATTAATGTTGGTATTTGCAAAGCATGGATGTAATGTGAGTGAGTGGACAAATTGTTGGATTCATCATTCAGGTTTGATGATTGCACTGCTGTTGACACTCTCCTGACTCTGTCCACCATAGGAAATCCACCTTTTTCAATGTGCTGACCAAGAGCCAAGCTGCTGCAGAGAACTTTCCCTTCTGCACAATCGACCCAAATGAGAGCAGGGTACCTGTTCCCGATGAGCGATTTGATTTCCTCTGCCAGTACCACAAACCAGCCAGGTGTGTGTGTTTGACCTTGTGTCCTGCAGGGCTACAGCTAACAATTATTTTCACTATTGGCTAAACGATTGTTAGGTACTAACAGTGTTTCCTAAAGCCCAAGATGATGTCCTCAAATGTCTTCTTTTGTCCACAAACAAAATATATTCAGTTTGCTGTCATAGAGGCGTAAAGAAACCAGAAAATATTCACATTTAAGAAGCTGGATTCAGAAAATGTGGGTCTTTTTTTTAAATAAAGGGATAAAATTTACCAATCAAATATCAAATTAGTTTGCAATTAATAGTTGACAGCTAATCGATTTGTATCACTGACTCCTTGTCTGGCTGTTTTTGTCTCTTCAGTAAGGTTCCAGCTTTTCTGAATGTTGTGGACATTGCTGGTCTGGTGAAGGGAGCCCATGCAGGACAGGGACTTGGAAACGCCTTTCTCTCCAATATCAGTGCCTGTGACGGCATCTTCCACATGACCCGTGAGTTGTCATTACTACTTTCTACAGCTGCTGTGTAGTAACAACTGAGTGGACAGGTGTTAGGCGGGCAAGTTAAGAGCCATTACTACACTTCAGAAAGGAGGAAAAAGGCCCATTTGAGGAATTCACTCATGTTGTGCCTAGGGCTGGGCGATATGGCCAAAAATGTTATCCCGATTAAAAAAAAATTCACAACAATCGATATTTATAATTATCACGATAAATGTCAAATCTGACTGAAAGTTAAAGAAACCAGATGGTTAATGGTGGTTTTAAACTTTTCTTTATGGTCAGAACATGACAAACACTTGATGCCAGTGGATCACTTAACAAATCTGAGGTTGAACATTCAAAACGATTAAGATGAAATCTTTTTTATAACAAATACGCATGCGTAAAATTAAGTAAAATCTTTTTTTAGTCCCTTTTTCCTCAACATAATAAATAACTTTATAGAATGAATTAAATCAAACATTTATTGAACATTTGTTATATTGTTATTGAGGAAAATTATATTGTGAAAATTATCATTTTTGTTTTATTAATTACGATGAGTACTTGTTAATTACTACTAGCTTTTTGGTTTAATTTTATCCAAAAGACTTAGTATTAACAAAAAAGTTTGTCCGTTGTCAGAAATACTGACTGACCTGTTGGGGGTTTAGGAAGTACATAGTAAACTTTTTAAATGGCTGAAATTTGCCTGTAATGTTATTGAAAGGCTCTCAGATTTCAAAATGTGTGCATATTTGTAACAGGCTGACTGCATCTTACACTGCTCATGTCTTTTAGGCGCGTTTGACGATGAGGATATCATCCACGTGGAGGGTAACGTTGATCCAGTGAGGGACATTGAGATCATCCACGAGGAGCTGCGACTGAAGGACGAGGAAATGATCTCTCCAATCATAGACAAGCTGGAGAAAACTGCTGTGAGAGGAAGTGACAAAAAGCTCAAACCTGAATATGTAAGTAAAGTGTGTCTATTTCACATTTGTGTCACTACTGGGGGGATAAAGCAGATCTTAATCTGCAATCAGCCTGTATAGATCTTTTAACCTGCTGCTTCTTGCTTCAGGATATCATGTTGAAGATAAAGAACTGGATAGTGGAAGAGAAGAAACACATCAGATTTTACCATGACTGGAACGACAAAGAGGTAAGATGTACAGAATGTATGTGTGTGCGTGAATGCTTTTGTGTGTCTATAAGTGTTTGGTGTAATATTCCTAAACAAAATCACTGGGCTGCTCTACACATCAGTGGAATGTATTCTCAGTTCAGTGCATTAACACGTTTGTTTTCCTATCAAGAAGTCTGATTCTGTCAGCCTTATTACATCCTCGCTTGCTTCATATACTTACGTTTCCTAACTAATTGTGTGATCTTTATTACTTTACATCTTATTTTGTCTTTTGGACACATTTCTGGCATTTTTTTCTTAATGCACGCATTTATAATGCACATAAAAGTCCAGCGATTGGTAGCCTGGGAACCAGACACATCTGCAAGCTCATGTTTTTATTTGCTCCGGCAGATGCAAATTAGTCTGGCGATGCCGGGCTAAGTGACTGGTGTAATTTTGCTTTCACTTTGGACAGAGTAATCTGATTGGTCATTATGGCTTCGGTAGGTTTTGAGACTCTCTGGGTCAAGATGCAAAGTATCACATTAGTACAGCGTCGCCTGAGTGATTCAGTGAACTGAGACCTAAACAGTTTTTTGTTTTCATGATTTGTGCCCTTTTTAAATTCTCTGCACAGATTGAGGTGTTGAACAAATACCTGTTTCTGACATCCAAGCCCATGATTTACCTGGTTAACCTCTCAGAGAAGGATTACATCAGAAAAAAGAACAAGTGGTAGGTTTGCTTTCAGTGCAGGTGCCGGTCCCATGCATCATTTATTTAAGTATGTAGTTATTGTTTAACTTTTAGAATAATTTACCCTGCTGCCTGTTCATTCTCAGGTTGGCGAAAATCAAGGAGTGGGTAGATGCTCATGACCCTAGTTCTCTGGTCATCCCTGTGAGTGGAGCTCTCGAGGCAAAACTGCAGGACATGGAGGAGGAGGAGAGGAATAAGTACTGTGAGGAACAGAAGACGCAGAGGTGAGACAAACACACAATGTCGCAAGAATGTCATAAATTAGGTTTAACTTCCATGTAGGGCTGCAACTAATGACTGTTGTATTTGTCTATAATACTATAAAATGTCAAAATGGTGAAAAATATTTGTGATACTTTCCCTAAGCTCAAGATGGTACTTCTAATTGGCTGCTTTGTCTGACCAACAGTCCAAAATCCCAAAGCGATTACATTGAAATTGATTTTTATTTAAATTGTTTGAGAATCTGGAAGAAGAGAATGTTACGTATTTTTAGATTATAAATGACTTAAAAAGTGAATTGTTGTTAATTATATAAATTTTCTGTTCACTATTGATGAGTACTCATGCCAAGTAAAATAAATGTGCATCAGATTATTTTGGTGAAAGTGGAACAGGGACTATTAGCTTATTGAATGATTAAGTGTCTAATAGGGATGCTATTAGTATGTTCACATTATTTGAGTCAATTGAATGAGTCAATAAGCCTTTTTGACAGGGGACATTTTGACTTGACAGAGCAGGAAAGGCTGTGCTGTGTCATAACATTAATCATGACATTGTCCCGGGGTGCACAATAGTAGAGCCCTGCCACACTCTTTTTTTATTATTCTATTAATCACCCCTGTGTTTCCTGCTATGAAAAGTGAAAGTGTCTGCAGTGCAAAAGGCCTTCGAGTTAACTGACACTGAATAATTAAATAATTCTTAACAGAGTATTGAACACTCTTTATTATATCTAAATGTTTTAATCATGGAATGCACCATCATGGCTTCTGTGTGTGTGTGTGTCTCTGTGTCTGTGTGTGTGTGTGTCTGTGTGTGTGTGTGTCTCTGTGTCTGTGTGTCTGTAGTGTTCTGACCAAAATAATAAAGGCCGGCTATGCAGCACTACAGCTGGAATACTTCTTCACAGCGGGACCAGATGAGGTGCGAGCATGGACCGTCAGGGTAAGTGCTGCGATATGAATAACTTACATTAAGTTTTCATTAACTTCATTATTACTGATAGGATAGATCCTAGACTTAACCGTTTATTTCAAAATCCTCTTATTCTTGCTTATTGTTGTTTGAGAGTGTCATTCACATTTAATTTCTTACATGACATATTCTGTAAAATGTTAAGAATTTTGTCAAAACAAAGTTTACATTTTTTAATTTTTGTTAGATATTTATTTTCTTATTTCAAACTGGATGTCCCATTGTTGCCAATGGTATTTGTGGATTTAGATTTTCTTAGTATTTGCAGTGTTAAATCTCAGATGTGGGCAGCAATTTATAGGTCTAGCATTTTTCACACAGTTTTGCAGAAATTCTAAATTTTTAGTGCATTTCTCTCTCACTAAAGCATTTGCGGCACATTTCTTTAATGTGTAGGTTTTTACTCCTGTTTACATTTTGTTCTTTGTGGCCACCATACATGGCCACATGCTTCATAGTTGTCTTGCAAATTCTGTGAAATTGAGATGCAGAGCATATTGAACATGATTCCTTTGCTTATTTTAATTTTGACATGTTAGCGGTACGTTTTTCTCTAGAGTTGCATAATGTTCGTGGGCAGAATACTGTTGTTAGTATGAGGAGTTGCACTATAATGGCTGTCCATAAAATCCTTCAAAGTGGCAGTGAGTTAAATTTATTTCTGCTTTGTTCTGTTTTGCTCCAATAGAAAGGTTCCAAGGCTCCTCAAGCTGCAGGAAAGATCCACACTGACTTTGAGAAAGGCTTTATCATGGCCGAGGTGATGAAGTACAATGACTTCAAAGAGGAGGGTAGTGAAAATGCAGTCAAGGTGTGTTTTTGTATAGAGACTAATTATAAGCTTGAACTGGCGCACTTTGAGCTTTTTCCTGCCAATAACTAACACCCTTGAGTTCCCTTTAAATTTTTTCTCTTTTGATTTCATTCCTTCTTTCACAGGCTGCCGGAAAATACAGACAACAGGGCAGGAACTACATCGTGGAAGACGGGGACATTATCTTTTTCAAATTCAACACACCCAATGCTCCTAAAAAGAAACCATGAAAACCACACAATCACCAGAGGGAGAACTCAGAATCCAGTTTAGTTGTGCCCCAAAGAGCCACACTGTCTGCTGATTTTCATACTTTTCTCTTGAATTCAGAGGATCAACTGATGACCTGGTTGGCCAGAGGTATTTATTCAATTGGCCTCCCAGATTTGGACCAGAATCTATTGAAGTGATTCTATATAAAAACGTTTCCATACTATAATAGCACACATTCCTACCTGAAATTTTTTGAGAATTTTTCTTTGCGGCTCTTTACCAGTCAAACATTTTTGAAAACATTTTATTCCAGCTTCCATGGTCTCAATGAAAAATTGGTATAAATGAACTGAGAACTCGAAATAGCCTAAGATACTATAACAAAACACAAACTGCTTAGTTTTGTAATGGATGCTGTTTTTTAATGCATCAGGCTCAATACTCAAGGCGGTTTTTGTTGCAATTTATCTAACACAATCTTCTATTCCTCTTGAGTAATTACAGCTTCTTTCTGTCATTAGTTGACAGTTACCTTCATGATGACTGCTGATTAATTGGCAAGCTCTTGCGTCATAACACTTTTAATTTGTGCTTTATTACAGGCATGTGTGCTCTCAAACTGTCAAATCCCCTCCTGTATTATAAAACACTTGTAAACAGTGCTACATGAGTTAGAGAAATATACAGCATGTGTTGTCTGCTACTGGTTCTCAATCAGCATTCATTAAGTAAAGGCCATCTTGAATGAGTTTTAGGTCTTTTTTTCTCAGTTCCTCTATGGCTTTTTTTCTAATTGAACTTTCTTTTATGCTTTTTACAATGAAGTCATAACACCATAATTATCACCAAAAAAAGCTATAATATACAGTGTCTGTAAAGGTTTGAGTGGTGCATTGTTTACTAGTAAGAGAAAATGAAAGCCATCACTCAGTGTTGCACTTCAGGCCAGTTCTGTGGGGTATTCTGAAGGTATTGTTATTTTATAATGAGCAAAGCAGGATTCCCTGACAGTGCAGGATCGCTCACCTGAATGGAGAATTATGTTATACAAACTGCTTTTATTGACTTAGTTTTGGCAAGTAAAATGAAACAGACAGACTCTTGACATTATGCCTGCCTAACGAGAAAATGCTTCATTGCAAATCAGCCAAAGGAGCAGCTCTGTTGATCATCTGGACTGTCTGTGCACATTGTTTCACCTCTCCTCGCTGCCGCCACGGTGTGAAAGTCTTTATTTTCAAGAGCACCTAATAAATCTCCCCTCACCACACATCTCACTAAATCGTGAACTAAGATAGGAATCCTGTGAAACTAATAAATATCATCCTCATCAATATGCATGTGTCAATAAAAGGAGACAAACCTGTTGCTGCTTTGTGTATTTTTAAATGTTCCTTTTGTTAGAGGCCACAATGGAAGGTCATGAGGTAATGTGCAGGAATATGAAATCTGAACAATGCCAGTGGATAATCATAGGCTTTTAAAGTGTTAAATTACAATCAGTTCATAAATTAATATATTTAAACAAGCTATTATTGAATAACTCAATTCATCTTTAAATGAGGCATTAATTGAGTAAAACAGCTGTCTCTAAAGTGATTACAAACTTAAAACTTCAAATTTAAATCTTGAATTAATTTTAAAAAGGGGATTATAGGTTTGTGTGTGCCTGTTTAAAACAATCACCTCAAGATCTACTCTGTACCTTCTGGAGCTTTAGATCAGCAGATGGAGTTGCCCAGTTGTGATGATAATTTCGATTTTCATTTTTCTCTCTCTGAACAGTTTAAGGACTTTTTTTTAAATCCAAGATGACTTATAGGGTGAGATTCAATGGTGTATTTGATTGTTGAATTCATTATGTAATTCAGATACAATAGCTTTTTCAATGCATGTGGTTGTTAATGTAATACAAAATGTGAAACTTTGATATATTCTAGATTCGTTACAAATAAAGTGAAATATTTTAGGCTTTTTAATCTTGATGATTATGGCTTACAGTTCATGGAAACCAAAAATCCACATCTCAAAATATTAGATGACGCGCAACCACGATCATCAATTCTTAATTGACAGTTGTCCAGAAGACACTTACTGACCCCCTTCAGAAGGAGGGTAAGCCATAGAAGATCGGTGCGGAAAGGGCCAGCTGTTCGCAGAGTGTTGTATCAAAGCATATTTTTGGAAAGCTGACTGGAAGGTTGAAGTGTGGTAGGAAAAGGTGCACAAGCAACAGGGATGGCTGCAGCCTTGAGGGGATTGTCAAGCAATGCCGATTCAAGAGCTTCACAAGGAGTGGACTGAGGCTGGATCCACCAGGCACAGACGGGTCCAGGAAATGAGCCACAAGTGTCGCATTCCTAGTGTCTAGCCACTCCTGAACGCTGCTTTCAAAGCAACCTGGGCTTCTATAACACCTCACAGGCTGGTTGCTTTACTGCATTGATGAAGTAATTCATGCAAAAGGAGCACTGACCAAGTACTGAGTGCATAAAGGAACCTTTTTCAGAACTGTTCAGCTTTTCAGAAGGCCGACACTTCTGTAATAAACATTCTTTATTCTATATTAAGATATGGATTTTTGATTTTCATGAGCTGTAAGCTATAATCATCCAGATTAAATCAAAAAGGCATGAAATATTTAACTATTTATTTAATGAAACTAGAATAAATTAAAGTTTCACTTTTTGACTTAAATAACGGAAGAATATGAACTTTTCCACGGTTGTCTAATTTCCTGAGATGCACCTGTAAGGATACTGTTAAAATGTCTAGCTTTACAGTTCACCCTTGATCATCTCCAAACAGCAGCTGACAAAATCTCCTGTCAAGGACTACTGACTTGTTGGAGCTCAGTGTCTCCATCAGTAGATGAAGGTTGCTCAGTGTTCATGAAACTGTGGATTTTCACAAACTTTCCATTATTCTGAACACTTTTATAATTTGTTCGTCCCATGGACAAAAGATCCACAATGCGAGAGTGGGCGTTGAAGGCCGTAAAGGTTAACGTGTTCTTACATTCATTACTTTTTAGGAGGAGATGTTTTTTCGCAGGTTGTTGAGAGACATTACGTTACTCTCTCAACATATAAATTACAAAACTACTATATCTGCTGAAACACTGGGTAGTACTGGTGAAGACATGCATTTGAGAGAACTTGCAAGGACTTAAATGTGTGATAATCTGGACACAAACTAAGCTATTGTAACCAGCTACAAGTTAATGTAGAACTGCTATGCTTTTTGAAAGCTGCCTGGTTGTACTAATGGAGGCCAACTAAACGTAAGTAACTAAAACTTTAAAAACGGACTCTTCGCACGTCTACTGCGGGGTTATGTCGAAAAGAAAACGCACTGCATTAAATCAACAACCAAGCTTTAGAATATAGGACTTGTTTTACATTAAAATAATAAAATAAAGTGTTTAATTTCGACACAAGTATCGCCGTCTTCCAAATATCGCTGTTCACAATTCACCAACTGCATTCCATCTCCTCACTCGCTCATCAACAAACAGGAAACACACGTCCTATAAAAAATGATTGACATCCCGGTTAGCCAGTGACGTACATCAAACCCCGCGCTTATCCAATCGCCTTAGAGAAGAAGGGCGGGATGTCCTGTAATGTGATGCAAATTCAACGGTCAAGCTTGTTAGTCCCACCTTTTTGTGTTTCCCGCACCGTCAATCAAAATAGAAAAAAATCGACCCGAATTCACCCGATCAACACTAGCCCGCCTTTGATAAAATAATCATGTTTGGAGTTTAGTTGATCAGATAATCCTCCCGGTTACTACCATTCACGCTATGATTGGTACGTAAACACTTAGCGCATCGAAGCGTGCAACTAATCGGTGAGTTTGTGCAACCTACAGCGAATCAAGCTGCGTCTTTTTTATCTTTTGCTCTGCTGCTAACTAGCTAGATATGGTTAGCTAACTGAGCTAGCTGGCTAGCCACGGAGTTGACAAAGTAAACAGTCATTCTGGGCCGAAATCGCCCCAGAATCTCCGCTGCAAAGTTGAATTTCGCAGTCGGCTCCTTTTGGACTGGAGAGTGGGGATGCTTTGCGGGCTTTTCTGGCAGGCAGGAGTTGAAGATTATAGAGTTTTGCTGAGTTTCCCCCTCTCCCCCTGCTAGCGCCAGAGCAGCCTCTGAAACAAGGAGAAATGGCGTCCGCGGACGTGGACAGCAGTCAAAGCGAGTTTCTGCAACCCGGCGGCGCAGCGGAAACACAGGTATCCGACATTTTCTAGCTCGTCTTTCTCGCTCGCTTTCGATTGCTGGTTGTGTTTTTGAGAGCATGGAGTTCACACGTTTTAAAATTTTGATGGCATGGGGTGAAAGCCGTACACTTCCTGTGTTCCCCTCAATAACGGCCACCCACTTTACCCCTGTAAAACCCGCCCATAGTGGGTAGGACACTGAAGTCAGTCACTTGGGTCGGCTCGCTGAAAGATAGCCCGTCTACCTTGGGCTGGGAAGATGTTGGGGTGTGAAAATATTGTAGGGATAGCGTCCATAGTCAAAACGGTTGCGTTCAATTGTGTTGTAATAGTCACCCATCCCCCACACCCTGCTCTCGACCTCTTCTGAGCCTGTTATCTTCACTCTGTGTTGGTGGTTGCATGGAGCTCCTGCCTCTTCTATTGCTTTGAATCTGCACAAATCCTACGTGACTTTCTCTCTCTCTGAATTATCAGCACCATCTCTGAATCCATAACTGATTCCAATCTATAGCCAGGCTCGTTCTTGTGATCTAATCTAAAACTTGATATGAAGTGTTATCTGTCTGTAATTTTACTCCCAGACAACAGATATGTCGGCCATTCAGCTGACTGGTTCAGACCGATGGGAGGTGTTAACTCCTGTCTCAACTGGGAAGGAAGACCAGGGAGTCCTTCACATTCCAAACTCGGGGATTGTCACGTCCAACGGGCAGTACATGCTTCCTATTGGGAGTCTTCCCAGCCAGTCCATTTATGTTACAGCGTCTGGGAATGAGGCTGCAGCCAATGGGTTGTCAGGCATTCAGTATCAGGTAAGAAGAGACAGAAACATTTTCAAGATACAGGTGTTCTGTTCAGGCGACGATCGTGCTCAAAGCTATCACTCCTTCTTCCAGGTCATCCCCCAAATCCAAAATGCAGATGGGACGCTTGCGGGGTTCCAAACACAAGGGTTGGATGATGGCACGGGGCAGATCCAGCTCCTCCAAGATGGCAGCCATGGCAGCATCTCAATCAGCTGTGCCACAACAACGACCACAGACCTCTTGACGCAGACGGGGCAAGTACAGTCAATCCAAGGCGTCCCGCTGGCTGGGGGGTCAGCATACACCAGCACAGTACCCGTAGGGTTGCCCGGCAACATAACGTTCGTCCCTATAAACAGTTTGGATCTGGAATCTCTAGGGCTGACCGGAGCGCATACAGTCCCCATTGCAACAGGGGTAACAGCTGAAGGTCAGCTGATCATGAGCGGTCAGGACACTGGCACCAAACAGTCGCTGGTGGCGGTGAGCGACGCTGGCGGCAACCAAGAACTCTACGTGCCAACCACCACTTCCTCCTCCAACTCCTCCCATCTTCCCGAGACCATCGACGGCACCGGGGTTCTGACCCAGGCAACCGCCGTGTCTGCAGGCGTGTCCGACCCCTCCTCCTCAACGAACTACAACTCCCAAAATCACCTGCAGCAAATCCAGGTCAGGTGTCTTTTACACCATGTCATGTATATGTGTGTCAGGCCTGTGTGCTGTAATGCAGTTGTTCACAGCCAGGGTTGAGAAGGGTCCCAAGATAAATTGTATGGGTCACAATATGAAGGAAAATTAAAGAAAAAAATCTGATAATCCTTAAAGTTATCAAAAAAGTATAATTTTAGTATTAGTATAACAACTATTGCTTTGGCACTAGTATCTTGACATTTCAGATGATGCCAAGCCTTAATGATGAGGGGTATTAAGTAGATATTGGTTTTTTTTACAAGCCAAAAAGTTTGGGAAACACTGCTTTCAGGCCACAATAGAGTGCACTTCATGTGTCATTTTATGTGTTGTTAATGTGTATTTAGCCCATTGGAATTACATTACTTTACGCTTGTTAAATTTGAGATACACTTAAGACATTAAGTGTATCTCAAATTTCCCAGAATTTATTTGGCTGACCCACAAGGTAGATTTGTTTGTTTATATTCTGTATAACTATAATTAAAAGTGCGAACTGCTAGAATGGTGCATTCATAGAGATTGGAAAAAAATACTCACACATAATCCAATGTCGGCTTGTGAATACAATGCTTTTGTTCAACCAGCTCTAAAGTGTTCGGAGCTCCCCACCTGCATGGTCAACTACATTCTTAGCCTGTGGGAAATGCTCTAGCTTGCAATTTATTTACACGATTAAAGGAGGAGGATAACTATCCACCGTACTGTTAAAGCAGGACCCCCCTACATAGCAACATGATGTGAATGCTGCTTTCTCAGCCTTTGTGTGTAATTTATTTTGCTGTTTCCTTACTCTGCAGGTCTCATCCTCTAATGCCACCACTATCTCGCAGCCCATCCTGCAGCTGTCTGGTGACAGTCAGGCCCAGGTGGCTCAGGGTCAGGACATGAATGCAGGTCAGACTCTACAGAGTGTGCAGCTGGTCAACCCGGGGACCTTCCTCATCCAGGCCCAAACTGTCACAGCTACTGGACAGATCCAGTGGCAGACTTTCCAGGTAACCTATAAGGCGTGTGTAGGTTTCCTCATGTTTGGAAGTATCGGAGTGGTCTACAGAAGTTTCCTATAGACATTATTACACCATGCTGTGTTCTTGTGTTGTGAAAGATATTATTAAGATGTATCCCATCCCTCTGTGTAGGTTCAGGGTGTCCAGTCACTCCAGGGGCTCCAGTTGCCGCAGGGGCAGGGGCAGGCCCAGCAGCTGACTTTAGCCCCAGTCCAGACCCTCCCTCTAGGCCAGTCAGGCCAGGTCAGCCTGCCCAACCTCCAGACAGTCACAGTGAACTCTGTAACACAAAGTGGAGTTCAGTACACACAAGGGGATGACGCAAACAGTCCAGCTGGTATGGGACACTTGCACATATTGTACACCCTCATCTTGCACATTGTTCTTAATTTGCATGAGCAAATCTTAAAATCCACGTGTCAAAACACTCCTAAATCTGTTTCTCCTTTTCGTTCTTTCAGGTATCCAGATAAAGGAGGAGCCGGACTCTGAGGAGTGGCAGCTGAGTGGAGACTCCACACTGAACCCTAGCGACCTGAACAACCTGCGTGTTCAGATGGGAGATGAGGACATGGATACGCAGGGCGGGGAGGGCAAGAGGCTCCGCAGAGTAGCCTGCACCTGTCCCAACTGCAAAGAGTCTGGAGGAAGGTGAGCCCCTGGAAAAATACACACATACCGATTCCAGTTAAGCTCATTATGAAAAGTTAAAACTCTCCCACTTACTCAGAAAAACTAAACGATGCCCTTAGAAATGATATTTCAACCATAGACCAACCAGTTTTTTTGCAGCTAGACAATTTCAATACAACAAATTTTAAACAATACATTTTTAGCGAGTCCACTGAGTGATACAACTACAACACCCAGATGTTGCAATGGCTGTACCAAAGACTTGATGTCTCAAAACCTCCAAAGTAGTTCCTCTTTTATCGCTCATTAATAGTTTTAAAATTTAACTTAACTTGAAATTATCTGTTGCAACCAGATAACACACATTCTGTATTTAAGTAGTTAAGCTGGTGTTAAATCCTGTTCATGTGTCATTAAAGATTTGCATTGTTGTCTTTTATCTAGCTGTGTGTGTCATTAGATTGCAAATATTCTGCTTTTTGCATTATTAAGTTTTGTACTTTTCCGGCATTTCACAGAGGTTCAGGCACGGGGAAGAAGAAGCAGCATATCTGCCACATCGCTGGCTGCGGGAAGGTTTATGGGAAGACGTCTCATCTCCGGGCTCACTTGCGCTGGCACAGCGGAGAGAGACCATTCGTCTGCAACTGGATGTTCTGCGGGAAGAGGTTCACTAGGAGCGACGAGCTGCAAAGACACAGGAGGACACACACAGGTGAGACGACAATCTATGCACATTTTCAAATCAACTCTTAACATGGGTATGCAGTCAGGCCTGTCTAATTTTAAGTACTGTTTTTATTTCCAGTTGTTTTTATAGTACAGTTAAAATACAGTTTTTATGTTTGGAGCTAGTTGTAAGTGGACAACGAGTAACGTACATTCATGTTGGAAGACTGACAACAAAGAAAAGGTTTGTACATGTTGTATAATCGCTTTCTGTCCATGATACAAACTTTAAAAGGACACATTTAGTTCTTAGATGTTCCTGACTTTGCAGTTAAAACATAACAGATATATAATATTTTCATGTCCCCAGTAGATGATTGTCTGCAGCTGTCCACACCATTCTTTCTGATCACACAATGTTCAGCAATAACAACTATTAAGCATCATCTCGAAAGTGAGAAAATGAAAACGTGCACCAGCAGATGCCAGTTTGAATGATATACAGCTACGTCTGGCTGTTTTATGAGGGCAACAACTAGCAGCATTTAAGCATGATGTGTGGCTGTGTGTGTACAGCTAACCATCACTTCAAAGGAGATAAATACGTGGTCACCAGCCTGTAATATTGACATTATCCAAGCAAGAAACGCAGCATTAATTTAAAGTATTTGATTTGGTGCTAAAAAGCAAAGTAAAAGCAAAGTTGATTAAATGACCAGTCTATTAACAGAATGTAACCAGAAATATATTACTCATTTATTGAGTACAGTACAATACATGTTTTATGTATTTCATCGTGTATCCAAAAGTTTTGTCTTCCATCTGGCTGCAAGACAAATGTCTCTTCAGGGAAAATTCAGTAAAGTGGGAAGAAGTGCACAAATGTTTTGGGGGGTTTAGTTGTTCCTCAGATTTAATAAGTGATTCCAAGACATTTGTTTTTGGCTCCGATGATCTCTGATGGGGATTTTTTTCATACTTAAACTGTATGATTTATCAATGAAGCTTTAGTTAGATTTTTCCCTTTTTATTGAAAATCTCCTTTGGAGAACTGCTAAAGAAAACATCCTGATTGAAATGTACTCTAGGTCTTATTTCCTCAGACAATCTTGGGCGCCTGTTGTCACTCTACTTAGTGTTACTGTATAAACGAACAGTACTCGAATGATTATGTTCTTTGTTGTAAATTAACAGGCACATTATATCTGTGTCAGACTTAAGTGATTTTTGTTGAGCTGTGGTGTAGAGTTCAATCTAGAAAACATTTAACTGTACGTTTTTCAGCTTGTTATTGCGGAGTCTTTCATAATTTTCGGTCAGGGCTTTGTTAGTGTTGGACTCTGACAAAGGCTGGTTCACCCACATTTAAAGAAAAACTTAACGCCTCACTATTTCCTCAGAACTGTGAACTGTTTTCACAGAGACTATTTCTTTGGTAAAGCAGCTCAAAGAAGAAAATGGATTGTCTGTAGAAACAGTGTCCTGGTTACTCTGCATAATCCAAACACATGTTGCTGTTGAATTTTTTGAATGTAATTATTCAATAGTTTGAGCCCGACAACTCTCTACTGTATCACTAGAGTCCTTTTAATGTTCTTAATATAGTCTGACTGACTAGAGTTATCTGAGGTAGATATCATTATTAAATGATGTCATTTATAAATGTAGAGGTCAACACCGATACACTGGAATGAAACAAAGTTAATTTGTTCCGGACCTTTTGTCTATTAAATGGTGTGTGTGTTAACTAAGTGGGAACCTCCAGGTCTGTAAAGTGAAGCCAATGAGGAAGTGCCTTGAACCTGCATTTTTTTTCTAACAGCCAGCAGGGAGCGACTTCACTGGTTGCGAGAAGTCTGATTGCATTAGACTTAATGGCAAAATGAGCCTACTTATCATTTGATTTGTTACCACAGTAAACACTTTGCTAATGAGTTTATAGTCTCAGTCGCTAGTTTCATGTTTTCTTCAAGACATCATGCTTCTTCACAGCATGTTTATTTGTAAATTATGGTGACATTTAGAGGAAAATCAGGTGCTGGTCATATAATTAGAATATCATCAAAAAGTTAATTTATTTCAGTAATTCCATTCAAAAAGTGAAACTTCTATAATGTATACATTCATTCCACACAGACTGATACATTTCAAATGTTTATTTAATTTAATTGTGATGATTAAAACTGACAACTAATGAAAATCCCAAATTCAGTATATTCGAATATTACTTAAGACCAATACAACTGAAAAGTATGAGCATGTACAGCACTCAATACTTAGTTGGGGCCCCTTTTGCCTGAATTACTGCAGCAATGCAGCGTGGCATGGAGTCGATCAATCTGTGGCGCTGCTCAGTTGTTATGAGAGCCCAGGTTGCTCTGATAGTGGCCTTCAGCTCTTCTGCAATGTTGGGTCTAGCGCATCGTATCTTCCTCTTCACAATACCCCATAGATTTTCTATAGGGTTAAGGTCAGGTGAGTTTGCTGGCCAATAAAGAACAGGGATACCATGGTCCTTAAACCAGGTACTGGTAGCTTTGGCACTGTGTGCAGGTGCCAAGTCCTGTTGGAAAATGAAACCTGCATCTCCATAAAGTTGGTCAGCAGCAGGAAGCATGAAGTGCTCTAAAACTTCCTGGTAGACGGCTGCGTTGACCTTGGACCTCAGAAAACACAGTGGACCAACACCAGCAGATGACATGGCACCCCAAACCATCACTGACTGTGGAAAATTTACACTGGACTTCAAGCAACGTGGATTATGTGACTCTCCTCTCTTTCTCCAGACTCTGGGACCTTGATTTCCTAAGGAAATGCAAAATTTACTTTCATCAGAGAACATAACTTTGGACCACTCAGCAGCAGTCCAGTCCTTTTTGTCATTAGCCCAGGCGAGACGCTTCTGACGCTATGTCTTGTTCAAGAGTGGCTTGACACAAGGAATGCGACAGCTGAAACCCATGTCTTGCATACGTCTGAGCGTGGTGGTTCTTGAAGCACTGACTCCAGCTGCAGTCCACTCTTTGTAAATCTCCCCCACATTTTTGAATGGGTTTTGTTTCACAATCCTCTCCAGGTTGCGGTTATCCCTATTGCTTGTACACTTTTTTCTACCACATCTTTTCCTTCCCTTCGCCTCTCTATTAATGTGCTTGGACACAGAGCTCTGTGAACAGCCAGCCTCTTTAGCAATGACCTTTTGTGTCTTGCCCTCCTTGTGCAAGGTGTCAATAGTCGTCTTCTGGACAGCTGTCAAGTCAGCAGTCTTCCCCATGATTGTGTAGCCTACAGAACTAGACTGAGAGACCATTTAAAGGCTTTTGCAGGTGTTTTGAGTTAATTAGCTGATTAGAGTGTGGCACCAGGTTTCTTCAATATTGAACCTTTTCACCATATTCTAATTTTCTGAGATACTGATTTTGGGGGTTTTCATTAGTTGTCAGTTATAATTATCAAAATTAAAGGAATGAACACTTGAATATATCAGTCTGTGTGGAATGAATGTATACATTATACAAGTTTCACTTTTTGAATGGAATTACTGAAATAGATCAACTTTCTAATTATATGACCAGCATCTATAGATGATAAAGCAGGGTATGCTTTAGGGTGGGGCTACCTTGTAAGTCACTACCATAGCAACCGGTCAATCAGGATAGAGGCAACTCCTGTCAACTTCACTGTGTAAATTTGGCCAGTGCTGTTGAAAAAGCCTAGGAGGAGTTGGCTGTTAATTTTTCAGCTAAGTGCATTTTGTTTATCGCTAGCCAAAATTAGCATCCCTGTTAATATCACAGTTAACGTGAATTATGTATGCACCTTGCTAACCAAGCTAGCTAGTGCCACCCTTGTCTAAATCACGAGAGGGTGGTTTGAACCAGGTAACCGGTGCCTGGTTGCAAAAAACCACAATGGTGATGGCCAAAATGCCAAACTCGAGGTTGGCAATGGGTGACGTCACTATGACTACGTCCACTTCTTTTATTCTGGCTATGGTGGTAACCAGTTTTTAGGTTTTATTAGCACCCCGTACACTGTCTGAAGTTTGTGCTTCGCTGATCCCACAGGAGAGAAGAAGTTTGTGTGCAATGAGTGCTCCAAGAGGTTCATGCGAAGCGACCACCTGGCCAAGCACATAAAGACTCACCAGAATAAAAAAGGCGGGGTTCCCTCCACGCCTCCGCCCACCACCGACGCCGTCATCACTGCCGACGGCACCACGCTCATCCTCCAAACCACCACCGCCCATGACCTCGTAGCTAATCAGGAGATCCCTTTACAGCTGGTCACGGTGGCGCACGGTGAGGTCATGGAATGAGGTGACGAATGGGGTGAGGTGGTTTTTTGAGAACTGGCCTATCACAGGGACCTCTTGGGCTTTTCTCTTTTTCCCTCTTACCTTTTTTTTTTGTTTGTTTTTTATATATGAATATATACGTAAATATATATGACAAATATATATATTTTAAGTAAGAGTTATCATGACTTTGTTTGTTTTTTGCAGTCTTTTTATAGGCGGGCAAAAAAACATTAAAATGTGGTTGCTATACACACACATACACACACACACACACATACACACACACACCACAACATGTATTAACACCACGTGAATACTCAACACGAAGAAATGCCTTATTTTGTATCATACTCTTGTATAAAATGCTGGAGGTGCATGTGTTTTTTTTTTAAGCTTTGCAGATGATGTAACTGTAACGGAGATAAATGTGTTTGTGAAATGGAGATGATGGTGGTGATAATGATGAGGAGTTTCTGAAAGAGAGAAAAGTGAACCCCTCTGGGATTATTGACAAAACCGAGCAGTCTGTTTGAAGCAGCGCTACATCCTCGCTGAACCGTTGAACTGCTGCCGCCATGAAAGAATGCTTGTGTTTTTAGAGGAGTACTTCAACATTTACGGAAATTTGCTTTCTTGCTAAGAGTTTGGATGGGAAGATTGATACCACTCTCATGTGCAGACATGTGAGTGGTATCAAAACAAAAACAAATAGGCGTATTTCCCAAAATGTTAAACTTCTCTTTAAATAAATCTGCAGCAGCTGTCGCTGCCCAGTCACTGACACTGACGCAGATGTCATGCTGTGCTGCTTCAAGCAGAGGTTCAGCTGGTGGTCAGAGTAGGACGCAAGTGCCACTGTCAACTGACCTGAAGTTATGGTGTTTTCCACCATGAGGGAGGTTGATAGATGCATGCCACTGGGGGGAAAAAGGCAACTTCTTCCAGCTTCAGTCTGAACAGAATGTCTCATCTGTCCTCACGAGCACACCGTCCGCTGTGCTTGTCCACGTCAAAAACATGTCTTTAATTTTCTTTCTTTGTTTGCATATTTTTGTTGTAAATTCACATTGTGTTTAAGTTGTCTGTGTGTCTTCGCCGATCTGGGTGTCTAAATCGAAGCCACATGGCGGTGATCATAGATTTTAAAGTGTGTGTGGGGGGGGGTCACCTCCTGCAGGGCTCTTCATTGTCATTGTAAACTACGTACATGGCAAGGAGAACTGAGAAACGGATGCAACAAATCTGTAAGCCCCTCGAGTGTGTTTTTTTGTCATCGAACATTCCAGTTGGACACCAGATGATGTGGGATACGTTTTGCAATAACGGCTCTGTTGGTAATTCTGGCCAGATGTCACTCAAGTCAAAAGGAAAACAATCATGCCATTGTTTGTCTCTTTTTTTTTTTTTTTTTAAATTTTAATTAATTCTTCAGTTCCTCCTCATGTTTGTAGCATTCATTTACATGTATATTATCTTATTTCACATTGTTTATAGAAGCCATTACCTAGTTAACTGAATTTGTTGTATCAAAACCTTATATTAAATGATTTTTTTTAATGAATTGGTGTAAAAAATGAATGTTACCTTTTGTAAAACCTTTTTTCAAATGGATCACAATAAAAGTCTGAAACCTTCCAGTAACAGGTGTTGTGTGTGGAGGGCAGCATCAGGGTAGATGTATATGAATGATCGTAATGTGTTCCACAGCTTATTTTTAAGTATCGTTGGGGCATTTTTTTTTTTTATCCGAGTTTGGGTTTCAGAATCTGTACTCTGGAAGAAAAAGTCTGAGCAGTGGATTTCTAGGTGACATTTCTCTTCAGTGTCAACAAGATGGATTTAATGCGTTACATGTACAGTAGAGCAATGGTTCCACTTTTCTTTCAGACATACAGCATGTACATCCCCACTGCCCTGTCAGATGAACTCCAGTAGCCCTTCATTGACTAAACCCACCATGTTCCAAATGTGTTAATTTGAATTGATTTTAAACTGGATGTTGTCTAAAACCATTAATGTTAAAGTTCATTGTTACAGTATTTATTTCAGTGAACTGTCGATGTTTAGGTCAGTTTGGTTAGGTTTGCATTCATACTACTATTTGGAGTAGCAGGAGCTGAACCTGTTAACCATGTATTTAATATCTAATGTACTTTAGACATTAGCATTTACTTTCAGCTAACTATTTCACCCATTTATACATTATTTTAGTTTTAGCTATTTCAACCTTTTATCCATCAGTTTTTGCTAATTATTTTACAGCTGACTCGGTGTGTGTATATGTATGTATGTATACATACATACATACATACATACATACATATATATGTATGTATGTATGTATGTATGTATGTATACATAT